AGAATTATTGCTTTAATTGATTATTGAAGAATTATTGATTTAATTGATTATTGAAGAATTATTGATTTAATTGATTATTGAAGAATTATTGATTTAATTGATTATAGAAGAATTATTGATTTAATTGATTATTGAAGAATTATTGATTTAATTGATTATTGAAGAATTATTGATTTAATTGATTATTGAAGAATTATTGATTAAATTGATTATAGAAGAATTATTGATTTAATTGATTATTGAAGAATTATTTATTAAATTGATTATAGAAGAATTATTGATTTAATTGATTATAGAAGAATTGTTGATTTAATTGATTATTGAAGAATTATTGATTTAATTGATTATAGAAGAATTATTGATTTCATTGCTTATAGAATAATTATTGATTTAATTGATTATTGAGGAATTATTGATTTAATTGATTTTGAATATTGCTTATAATAAATTAATACTATAAGTTGTTTGATGTGGAAACAACTTAACATGTTAGAGCTATTCTTTGTACAAGCCGGCGTCTATACGGCTCATTGTTTGTTAGTCGCCTTATACGACACGTCAAATCTGAACGTCAGTGCTATTCTTTGGTAAAGCCGACTACTACACGGCTACTTGTTTGTTAGTCGCCTTCTACGACACGTCAAATCTGAACGTTGGTGCTATTCTTTGGTAAAGCCGGCTTCCACACGGCTACTTGTTTGTTAGTCGCCTTCTACGACACGTCAAATCTGAACGTTGGTGCTATTCTTTGGTAAAGCCGGCTACCACACGGCTAATTGTTTGTTAGTCGCCTTCTACGACACGTCAAATCTGAACGTTGGTGCTATTCTTTGGTAAAGCCGGCTTCCACACGGCTAATTATTTATTTAATTAACGAGTTTATTTATTTCATAAGGTCTTAATCTATTTGCGTGAACTAACTGATGTCTCCCGGATTTACGAATAACATAATTTTCATTAAAGCCTACACGTATCACATCGAATGGCCCTTCCCACTTATTATCTAAATTATTTGGGTTAGGGACCTTGATCATCACCTTGTCACCTACATTAAATTTAGCAATATTTTTAATTTTCCCGTCGTAACGTTCCTTGGCTTTTTCTTTCATTTTCTGAACGTTCTGTGTTGCGACATCGCGGGCTATTCTAAGTCGTTCGTTTAAATCTTTAATATAATCGAATGCAGTATAATCGGGTATTGTTTTTAATGAATAAAAAGGTCTTGGTTTAAAACCAAATAGAAGTTCGTAGGGTGTGAAACCTGTAGAGCTATTAACTGAGGTGTTATGACATATAATAGCCAGTGGAATAATTTGATCCCAATTTTTCAATTTACGTGCCTGGTACATTCGTATGTGATCTCGAAGTGTGGCATGAAACCTTTCTAATGCACCATTAGTTTGAGGGTGGTAAGCTGTATTAAAAGTTTGACTTGTACCGAGAAGTCTTATTAATTGCTTCATTAGTCCATTCATGAATTCAGTACCTTGGTCAGAATGGAAACGTCTAGGTACACCGAAATGTTGACAGAAGTGAAAGAGTTGCTTAGCAACTGTTAGAGCTTCTTTATCAGAAATTGGATAAGCTTGGACGTACCTAGTTAGTTCATCTTGTAGTGTCAATATGTATTTGTTATTATTGTCACTAATGTCAGAATATGATACTAAGTCTATAGAAACACGTTCAAAAGGTTCATTAGATTGGGATGTTAATACCATTGGAGCTTTAAAAGTTTTTCTTTGAATCTTATTGCGCTGACATATTTCACAAGAGTTTATGTAATTTTTGATGTCTTCGGCCATGTTTTTCCAGAAGTAATGTTCTCGAATTTTCCTAGTGGTTTCAATTATACCTCGATGTCCTGAGAGCGGTTCATCATGGTATGTTTTTAGAATGCTGGGAATTTCCTGAGGCGAAGGATGAGTAATTTTATTCTCGCAAATGATTATATTGCAATTATATATTTCTGCCAAATAAGCTGAGATATGTAGCTGTTGATTGCCCTGAAGCTTACAAGTTTGATCATATTTCAGGTTCGGTATATACAAAGTTTCAATATTATGCTTATGTAAGCACGATAACAATGATTTAAAATAACTCTCCGCGTCCCATGGATCATAGTATGATGTTCTAGTATAACAAAGGAAAATGTTTTGCTGATATTCAGAAGTTATTTTATCTATGTCGTAGACTTGTTTTTCTGTTTCAGGTTGATTGCTTTGGGAAGCACATAGATCTAAAGCTTCGTTGTATAAGTTATTAAGATCTGATTTTTGACACGACACAGGGATGAAGATATTTTTATGATTAGACTCTAAAAGATTTTCAGGTGAAGTTTTAAGCTTATGTGAATTAGCGCTACAACCTTGAGCTAAGAATTGTTCATAGTTTGTTCTTAATAATGTTTCAAATTGTTTGTCAGGATTGTCTGTACCCATATTTAATATAGGTGGTCGTGATAAAGCATCGGCGTTTGTATTATTTTTTCCGGCTTTGTAATTAATTTCATATTCATATTCTTCTAGTTTCAGTCTCCAGCGAACGAGACGTGATCCCGGATCTTTAATGGAAAATAACCATGTGAGTGGTTTGTGATCAGTAAATATTTTTAAATTTTCTACCGAATAAATATGGTCGAAAGTGTTTCACGGCCCATACTATTGCGAGAAGTTCGCGCTCTATGGTAGAGTAATTACTTTCAGCTTTATTTAACGTACGTGATGCGTAAGCAATAGGTAAATCTTTGCCAATTTCACCTTGCGAGAGAATCGCTCCGATAGCGTGGATTGAAGCATCCGTAGTTAATATAAACTCTTTAGTAAAATCGGGATATTGTAACAGAGGAGTCGTTGTGAGAATTTCCTTACAGGAGTCAAAAGCCTGCTGTTGTACACAACTCCATGTAAACGGAACATCCTTTCTTAATAAGCTTGTTAAAGGCTTAGTGAGCTTACTAAAGTTAGGTATGAACCTACGATAGTAGCCTGCGAGACCAAGAAATGATTTAATATCTTTACATGATTTAGGGACTGGAAACTCACGAACTGATTTTACTTTTTCGGGATTTGGCTTTACACCTTCACTCGATATAATATGACCCAGGTAAGCAACTTCTTTTCTCAAGAATTCGCATTTATCTGGTTGTATTTTCAGACCGTATTTTCGTAACCGATCGAATACTTCAGTTAATTTCTGTTTATGTTCTTGAAGGCTGGATGCAAACACTACGATATCATCAAGGTAAACAAAGCATCGTTCTCCTTGTAATCCGTAAAGTACACTATCCATGGCACGTTGGAATGTAGCTGGTGCATTTTTGAGTCCGAAAGGCATTCTTAAAAATTCGTAATGACCAAAAGGAGTGCTGAAGGCAGTTTTGGGAATATCCTTGGGGTCTAATTCAATTTGATGGAAACCGGATGCTAAATCTAAAGTTGTGAAATATACTGAATGTCCTAACTTATCTAGTATGTCAGTTATGTTAGGCAACGGGTAACTGTCTCCAATAGTGACGTCATTTAATTTTCTATAATCAATTACAACACGCCATTTTTGTTTTCCAGACGCGTCTAATTTTTTTGGAACTACCCAGATTGGACTGCTCCATGGAGAAGTACTATCTTTTATTATATTCTGTTGTAACATTTTGTCTATCTGATTTCTTACTTCTTGTTGGTGTACTTGAGGGAATCTATAAGTTTTAGTATTAATTGGTATATCTGACGTAGTAGGAATAGAATGTTTAGTGTGATTCGTGAACGTTAGTGGATCGCCTTCCACGTAGAAAATGTCTGAATATTTTGAAGTTATTTTATCGAGAGATTCACGTTCTTCTTTATTTAAATGATCACACCTTATAAGGCTCTCGATATCTATTCTTTGTTTTATAGAGATGTTGTTAATTTGTGAATTGGGTAAGGAAACAGACTGTTGAATTAGTTCCGATTCGTTAACAGAATTTACATCTATAATAGGCGTTGAAATATATACGTCATTATCACTCGAGTTTACACAAGTAATGAGAAAGCTATTATTTTTGACATTAACAAGAGCATTAGGAATACAGATATCGTTACTAATGTTTTGCTTATTTATCATTGCAGTTCCGTCTGATATATCATTAGTTAAACATGATATAACTGTCTCCGAACGACGTTTGATAATTTGTTTACCATTATCAAAGTACTTTGGTTCATCTCCCAGAAGGAACAACTGATAAGTCCTGTCATGTATTCGCATCGTTTTTGATTGAATATAAATGTTGACATTGAATTTTGACATGAAATCATTACCGAGTATACCATCAGCGTGTATGTTTAAATTTGCGACATGGAATTTAAATTTTGGAAATTGATCTAATGAAATGTGGGATGTGCCACATGTTTGAAAAGGCGAATTTTCATTAGAGATACCAATAATAGAAACGACGTTTGATGTATCGATGGTATTTTTACCGATTTTATTTTTATTTATAACTGAAATGGCTGCTCCCGTGTCTACTAATAACGTAACTGGTTGGCCATCAATATGAAATTTACAGTGCAAAAGATTTTCAGGAGGTATATTTAATGTAGAGATATTGTAAGATTCATTAGGATAAGCTCTTTTCTTTATTTGATTCGATTTTAGTTTTATTTTTGATTTTTGTTTCGATTTACGAGATTTTTTTGATTTTTTAGTCTTTGTAGTTTGTTGATTGCGCATGGGATTTGAATTAGATTCTTTTAATATAGGTTTTAGACATTGATCTTTTTCAGAATTAGTGGAATTAGTGATACAATCTACAGAGTTAATAGGTTTCTTTGATTGATTTAGTAAGGTTTCTGTGACCTTTATAAGAGATTCAGTGATCTTTGTGAGATTAATGATTAATGATTCAGAGAGCTCTAAGTTTGACTTAGTAGCTATCGTGGTTTTATTATCACAAGTACACACATCGCTTAATTGTCCCCGATGGACTGGAATTGTTTGCGCTTGTGTAGTGATGTTTGTATTAGATAATGTAGTATGACACTGATTACTATTGAATTTTACTGAATTTGAAGATCGTTTATTTGAGGTTCTAGAGTAATATCCTGACCCTCGGTGATCATTGAAATATTTGGGCAATACGTGGGAACCGTTTCCGAAACTGTGCCCGTCAGATCGGCCGGTTGCAAGTTTAAATGATTTACTCGAGCTGGAGTCGGATTATTTCGCGGAAATTGGTTATTACGACTATTATTAAATATTCTCTTTCTACAATTAGTTATATGATGTCCGGGTTTTTTACAATAATTACATATAATAAATTTTCGCGGATTGGTATTAATAGTATGTTTATCTGGTGGTTTATGTATTTGAGGTTGATTGATCTGAGGTGGTTGACGAACGACATTGCTATATAGCGGTGTTGTTATTCGACTATTTTTAAACAAACTTTGCCTAGCCGTATTCATTTTTCGAATTTTTTCTTCTTGAATTGCAAAGTTTCCAGCATGAGTTAATGAATCAAAACCTTTTGTTCTCAACATTACACCTATGTCAGAACTCAATCCATTAATAAAAACGTTCAGAGCTGTTTCTTCCGTAGTAGTTTTCCGTCCTATTGATGTCGCATCTACCACTTCAGTTGTTAATTTTTCTAAAATTTTATTTCTACATAAATCTACGCGGTGGAAAAATTCCGTTACCGATTCATTTGGTTTCTGAAAGAGTGATTGTAGTTCGAGATTTAGATGTGAAAGAGTTTTTGTTTGCGAAAATTTTTGTATAAGGAACGTTTTTAAGTCGTCCCAGTTTGAGTATAGTTTCGCGTGGATATCAGAAGAAGTATTCCCACTTATTTTATTTAAAGCATAAATTAATAAAATTTCTTCCTGCTCTAGACTTGCTAATTTAAAAGCTGAATCGCACGATCTTATGAACTTATATACTTGACCCGATTGTGTTGTATCGAAATCCGGTATTAATTGTAATAAAGTATTTAGCGGAACATTTTGTTCGCAAAATTTAGGTTTTGTGTCAATATTTTGTTGTGACATAATGAATGTTGAAATTAGAATAATTGAATTCGTAAAATTGATATAGTATAATAGAATATTAAAAATAGATAGAAAAATAGATTTTGAGTTTGAATAATAAAATTATTTTATGATTTAGGCGAAAAAGATTTATGAAAAGGAAACAGAGAAAGGAAACAGAGCAACATGTGTTGACCACTTACCCCAGTAACAGCAACAGGATACGCATTGCAGAGTATAGATTCGGCGAACTATTCAAAGCCCTTCAGGCACCGTCCTAGGATTGTTGGCGATGTTTGTCCGAGTCCCAGACGTTAAGTTCGACTTGCACTATTACGCGACGGATCCTACCGACTGCGCCAAAATTGTTATGGGGCAGGGTTTTAACACAGTTGGTGTTTTTGAAATGACTAGACTCGTAGAGTATCTGAATTGAACTGTCTTTATTATTACAAATCGTCCATATATATAGTAGAGATATCTTAATTACTATTTACAATTACAATAGTCAAATACTTCCATCGAAAGAGTGACAACAAATACAGATAATAACTTACTAATGGAAATTTGTATGAGATAAACAAATATACAAATATGAATATTAAACAATATAATGATTTCGATATCAAATGGACAAATACAAATATACAAATAGGAATGTCAAATATTATAATGATTAGGTCGTAGGCTGACACATGGTCTTAGGTCACGTACTCTTAATATATGTAACAGTTGTCTACATTAATCCCAATCTTACCCTAAATTAAGTCTTGATGATAACTGTAATGTATATATTATTATATTATAATAAACACCAATTATAGTATTATATTATTTTTCTGTGCTGTAACGTAAAAAAGATACTGTTTCTACTTACATTAACGCCAGAGAGCACCGAATGCCAAAACCTTTTCCTTAACTCATACATTTTCTTAACTTGAATCATGTATACACGCCGGTTTCGTAGATTTAGTAGACGTATTTTCAATAATTTTTGTTGTGTTTTTTTTTTACTTTTAATGATCATTATGAACGATTATCTAATATAAATAACTTTAATATATACCCATATGTAATTAATGAAAGCTGCATATCAGTAAATATATAATAGACATTTACGAGTATATAATAGTTATTAATGTCGATAACGTATGATTTAAAAAAAAAAAACAACAACAAAAAATAAATCCTCATGAATTTATTTATCTATTTATTTATTTTATTTTATTACTTTATTGTACACATTAGTTATAAAAATATGACAGAGGTAAAGAAAAGTACAAAGGCGAGCTTAACTCTGATAGAGTTTTCTTCCAGCAAACCCAAAGTGGAAAGGAGCATATCTACATACTTAATATAAGTATTTTCATTTTTAACCCCATATTGATTAAAAAAAGAGTAGTAGCCAAAAAATCGCCAACTAATGCGTGTGTAGTCCGCTAGTTCACGGGCGTGAAGATAAATAGAGGAAAAAAAAATTTGTGATAAATTCATTGCGAGTTGTCATTTAATATTATACTTACGTGTACAGACAATAAGTAACGGGCTTATGAAGTTCTCAGAAATGAACAAATTAATACTCTAGAGCTAAATAAGTGGCCACAATCTCACAATACGGCAATCGCGCTCGTGCTGTGTCAACGGATTCTGTTGGAAAATATAAATGAATGTATTGAGAAAAAGTGTATAAATAGAACGCGATCAATAAATAATGTAACTATGGTGGTCGAAGTGGCTGCCGCCTCCCGCGGCGAGTGTCGCGGACGTGCAAACATAGCCAACATTGTTGCTAAATCCCAAATTAAGGTGCAGTTTCGTTAATACGACTCAATAATATTCCTTTTATAATCCATATTAAATATTCCATAGGTTATTAAATAAAATATATGATGAACAATCGTCATTGCATATTTACCTTTTATTTTTTGTCTATTCAGATAACAATTATTTAGATATAAAAAAAACATATAATAAAAAGTATTTGTAATATTGAGAGCTATTTTAAAATCGTATGTAAATACAATTATTACATTAATAATGAATTTCCACCGTACAGTAATATTATTAAATTCGTAACGGTGCAACATCATATACAAATTGAGAAACAAAAGAATATGATTGTCTCTACTATATATTGAGATTTAATAGTATAAATTATTTCATAATACAATAATCTCATTCTCAAAAGTAGTCATTTTAAATTAACAAAAAAAATCTATAATAACACATAAATGAATGCACATACTTTTTTTTTTTGACTAGTAGAGAATGCCTATAGCATTATGTCCGCTTTTTGTACCACTTATTATTTATCAATAAATATCTCTCTTTATTTCTGCTTTTAGGATACTATAAAGTTCTTATCTAGTAGGAGTTATAAAAGCAAGAGACACAAATACACAGAGTGAATTTAATTCCCTATTGCAAGTATTTCGCAACAATGAAACTCCACTTTAACATTGTCCACATGAGAGTCAAGAAAACGCGAACCGTACAACAGAGGTATTGTTTCCTTCATTCTTAGAGCAAATATTGGGGCAACGTTATTCAAACCGTTTGCAAACACGACTCTACTGGGTGGCGGCCAACAATAACCTTCCAAGAACCTCCGTGACAACACTCCAAATATAGTGATTATACCCTAATTGTCCGTACACCTGGACTTTTATTTAGTTTTTAATGCAAACGACATATTTTTCTTTGGATAGAGCTGTTGTTGTCTAAAATTGATGGGCACTCATTGTAGTTGTATTACAAGTCGCGAACATACAGGAAAGCTTATCATTACTGCGCGCAGATGCTCAAGTCTACTCAAATAAAATACACACAAAAAGTTTCTAGAAAGCGGGAGGTCTGCAATTTGAGATCTTTTAATAAATTATCTATCCCCTGGACATAACCAGAAGACTGTGTTTGTCTCTTATATAGTTCTATTTGAAATGAAAACACGAATGATTATTCTTTTAATGTTATAGCGTGTAATCATAGTCTATTAATAATAAAACTTTACTCGTCGTATTACTTGCAAATATATGTTTTATTTCTTTTCCTGAGCACTTTTCTGAGTACTATATTATAGATAATGACTCGACACAGTGGTAACATTTACCAGTCAATGCCAATTCTCGACATTATATTTCTGAGTCAGTGCTCATATTTAGAAGTATGTGACTTTTATGGCTTGTATATCAACTTATATTCTGATGCATTAGTCTAAATATAACCTACTGTGTTTAAATTTAAATATATGTATATTTCACATCACACACTCAAGTACTTACAGCTAAAAATATATATTATTAACATTACAGGTTTTGGCACTATATCCTAACTAATATTATAAATGCAAAAGTGAGTTTGTTTGTATGTTTATTATGTATGGACACGCAGTGGTTTAGCACTGATCCGATTATAGTGAATTTTAGTATTGAGATAGATGTAACCCTGGAGGATACTTTTTCTTGTATATTTGCAGAGACTACTTTTTATTGTGAAAAACTTATACGGAATGGGATGAGGGAGAGGTAATTTTTGTATGCAACATTTGATTGCGTTGTCCGATTTGTTTCGAATTTATAATTCATAATTAAAGTATAATTATTTTTCTCAAACTACTCCATAAAGGGTTTTTTTTAATGGGTGAAAATGGCATGGTAACCCCGCCTGCGCTATCGGTATACACTGGCAGGGTACCAGTGAGAGGTGATAGGTGAGGATGAAAATGCAGGTCAATTAGTCAATCGTGACGTGCTGAATACTCATAATCACGATAGTTTCCAGGGGTGAGAAGACTTCCGCATGGAAGTCGACCTGATAGGGTACATTGAAAGCAATGGGGACTCACCTCCTCATTACTAACAATCCTTTCCATCCCCTCTATAAAGGGGTTAGGTTTTTTATATACCAAACCCCTTTATAGAGGGGGATATACCAAAAATCTGAATTGTTGAACCAAATCAAAACTAACGCGAGCAAAGCTACGAATAAAAGCTAGTAAAAAATTAACGACTAATTTAATGAGTCTGTAAATTGTATTTTTTTTTTTTAATTTTACGACATTATTTAATGTACTATTTAACATTTATTTACATTTATATTTTATATAAAAAACCTTATATCTATTATATATGTCATACTGTATGCTTAAAAAATATATAAACTAAAGAGGTTGAAACCTATTTATTGATCTAACTACTTTTTCTTAAATAACAATAACATAATTCATAGATAATATTTGTTGCCTATAACACAATAAATACAAACTATTTCTATAACAGCGACTTACAAGACGAATTCTTTTTTCATACAAAATCTCAACAATGACATCGGTTGAAGCGATTTGGCCAATGTTTGGTTAGCTGCGCCAAGCATTGTCAACTCAGAAATCAATTTACGATAATTGTCATTTATTATGGAATAAATATGATCTTTTATCCGATATCTTTTGTCGTTGAATAGACGAAATCATTCCTTGCCCCTGTTCCATTGAATTTAGAGCATTGGGCGTAAATAATTTTTATATTTTGCGCAGAAATCCATCGGTGCGTAAAAGAATTCAGTGCTGGCATTTGACAATAATTATATTAAAGGAGTCTGGATATTGGAAGATATTGGGCGGAACAAGATTTTGACATGAAATGATGTTTTCTCAGCTTGTAAGCAGATGCTGATTGCATTGATATTAAATGAACTGGCGAATTATTGCTTAACCAACGGAACTTTTATATTCTGTACTTACATTCGTAAAACCTGTAAAGGCTTTACGTACCATACCATATTAGCTATTAATTGATCACTGCTAATCATAGGCCTCCCTCTGTTGGGGCCGTTTTGCCAGTAGTTGCCACACTTGGTGGGCGGGTTAGCAACTGCAATTAGGCCTTGGAGATATTTTAACAGGAACGTAAGCGTCCCTCTTAAAATTTTGATAAGTCCTTTACGTTTACTTAAATTTTGTAAACAGTTCAGAATAATATCTCAATTTTGCAAGTAAACAGTTAATTTGAGTTTCATAAAAACAAGTAGATTTTGCTTTACAAAAAAGAAACATTGACTTCAAATGTGATAAAACCAGTTATTTTTATTTAATAACAGATTTCATGAAATTTCTATAAGACAACTCTAACCGTATACCTATTCTTTAAAAAAAAGGATTTTCCATATAGCTTTATAAACTATCGAATTCTGAGGAAACTAATAAAAAACATAACCGTCTTGTGGTCTTTCCTTTTTTTTGAAATCGGCTAAAACCAATAAAAATAATAAGGTGAATATGTGTTATTGACTTTAAACTAGAGAGATAGCTAGTAAGCTGATTCCATTTGCTACTCATATTATCAAATTATCAAATAATTATACATGTAACATAGTTTCACTTTGTTAGTATTAGGTTTTTAAATCAAGATAACTGATGTTGCCTAATTTGAAGTAAATTAATATATTGTTTATGTACCAAGAAATACAAAAATTCTACATTGAAGGCCTGAAGTATGGAATATCTTAACTCAGTAGGTATATATTGTATTTGACCCAAGATAAATTATGATAAAGCAATATAGAGGACAACGCTAACTCCACTAATAGATTCTGAAATCTGATTTATTGATATTATTTCATCGAAACAGTCATTAGAATAAAATGTGTCATGAATGATTCGAAGTATTCATAAGAATTTAAAGGTGTTCTAAAGACGTGACTACACTGTCATTATTTCTTAATATGAATT